TGATTAATATTGAAAGCTCTTCAGGCTGTAAAATAAAATGATTTTTTTAATTAAAGAAAAGGGAAGAGGGTTTCCTCTTTAACTTTATCTTTTAAATGGTCCCAAACTGTATATTTCCCCTTAAACTAGAAAATTATGCTTGTTGGTGGTCCAACAGCAGCATTTATATGTAGAATGCTTAGTAGGAAATTAGATTTTTGTTGATGATTGGTTACACTCAAACTTCATGCTACAAATGCATTATCTTAAGAGCTTCTTGCATTTCCATAGTTTATTTTGCACTTGGATTCTTCTTATGTTTATCTCACAGTATACTTCCACCCTACCTGTAATTAGTAGTGCTCTCTGTCTGCTTCTTTATTTTCACCTGCTATGGTTATCACATCCTGCAGTGTTTTATTCATTTTTAAGTGTACTCTTTTGTAAGTTACATGAGTGTCATCACCTAAGAAATACAAGAAAAGTTAATGAGATCCTTTTCCTATTTAATGTGGTACATGCTAGATTTTTCCTTCACATTTACTTCAGTGATGTTTTGTCTTATAAATCCATTTATGGAATATATCTCTAATGTTGTCTTGTGCATATGATTTATTTTCTAGGAGAAATTTATGTGGCTTGATGAGCAAATAATTGAAAAAGAATCTAGATTCTGAACCAGTTGCAGGTTCTCTAGTCTCTAACCCTAGCTGCTAGGGATCAGGCAGTCTTGTTTTCATGCCAGCTGATACAAAATTTCTTAAGACATCATCTCAATTTACACAATGCCCTGACTCTTTATTTTTCTTTTTTGCACTAGTTATTTTTTGAATAGCACTTTACATTTTTGTTGGCCAGCCTGGACCAAGATCTTGTTTATGTTCATAGCAGGCAAAAGGTACATGCGACCAAGCTCAGCTTTTTATTGGTTGATGTGAGGTATCACTGTCTGGCAGCCCTGCCTGACCTTGAAGCATGCTCTTCCTGACCTCAGCCTCCGAAGTAGCTGCTATGGTGAGCTTTTAGTTTCTGGGAACTGAGTTACAAATTGAATTGTGGATTACCTATGCCCCCTAACATCCCCATGATAACCCCATTCCACTACGTTTCCCTTACGGAATCACTCAAATAGATTGAATCCTCATCAGCCTCAGGTTCTTTGTATATGCATAGGTGCCCCACCCTCTTTGTCCAGATAACTTTTCCTTCTGCTGCACATCTTAGCCCAACTATCTGTTCACTGAAACCCTGAGATATCAGTGGCTTCACCACACAGTAAGCTTGTAATTGCACTATAATTTTACATTGAGCCGTGTAGTCATTGATTTGCACCTCTTTTAGCTGTCAGCTCCATAAATGCAAGTACCCCTTCCCCTCAGCTAGTAACTGAAGTATATTAGTTGTTTAAGAAATACTTTGGAGACTTTATTCTTAGAAAAAATGAATATTTACACTGAGGCCAGCAATGTAAACTAAGGACTTGCTCTCTGCAAAACCTCAAAGCACCCTGCTGACCTTTGAGAGAAGGATTTTAAGGGACATTTGAATGAGTGGTAATGAAATTCCAGCTCTAACCATCACCTTTCCAATTCTAGCCTGTTCTACTTAAGGAAAGACTGGGAGTGGAAAGTTTAGGAAAAGAATCAAAGACTAGCAAAATAATTCCACAGAAGACAAACTGGGTTTGGGGAGGGGCTTTTCATTTTGTTTTGTTTGGGGTTTGGGTTTTTTGTCTATTGTAGGACTTGAACTCAGGGTCTGGTTGCTTTCCCTGAAGTTTATTGCTCAAAGCTAGTACTATACCACTTTGACCCACAGCGCTACTTCCAGTTTTCTGGTTGTTAATTGGAGGGAAGAGTCTCACAGACTTTCCTGCCCAGGCTGGCTTCAAACTGTGATATTGAGACCTCAGCCTCCTAAGTAGCTAGGATTACAGGTATAAGTCACCAGCACCTGGCCTCAGAGAACAAATTGAATGCTACTTTTTATTAAAATAATTATTGATATTACTAAAAATTTTCTAAAAGGTTTTTACAGAGCCACATTTTTATTTAAATTCCTTTATACTCTAAAAAATAACAATCATGTTTCTAAATACGTTCAAATATTATTCAGTGTTACTAAGCAATATATTGCAAAATAATCTGTGGAGTTCACTACATTTTGATAAATTGAGCTTAGTTTTTCTGGATATTCTTCTATACTTTGTAGTAACAGATAACCAATAGCTGTATTCTCCAAGTAACAGCTTGATGGGAAAAAGAATTGATTTCATGCAGGTGGATATATCTTTGGGGATTTACATATATTTGGAATGTCCAGAAGTAATCTCATCTTGATAAGAAATTTTAGAACATGTTGATATCATATTTAATTCCATTGTTACAGTTACATATAACTATAGTTACCTATAGTTATAGCTAAGAATTATAGTCTTATCTAAGCCTTGTCTTATGTAAATGCGGAAGAATGATTGAAGGGAAGACATTGTTCAAGATGCATTGTACTCATAACCTGAAATAAATATTTAATACTAAAAGAATTTTTTTAATATTTTTATTTTAATGGTAAAATTTTTAAAATATTTGTAAAAATATGTAATAGTAAAGAAAACAAAGAAATTATAAAATTGTCATATGACTGCTTTGACCTGTGATTCTTTTCAAATTGAGCATAAAGAAAGAGAGTATCTACCTCATAAATGCCTTTTGATGGCTCTTCTATGCTACCCAAAGCACACAAATTATAACTGCATGGTCCGTTTCAAGGTGTACATCATGTGGCTTTATTTAACTTTTGTTAAGCTTTTTTCAGTGTAACTTGTTTTACTTTCTGGAGCACAGAAACCATCTATTAAACAGCTCTGCGTTCTTGAATGAATCTAATACACAAGCACCAGGTCTGCTTTTGTTAAGTGACTCTATTCCTACCTGATCTTCCAGTACAAGACAGTAGATAAAACTGGAAAGATAAAGCATTAGAAAAAACATAATACAAATATATTTCATTGAAATAACTGGAGAGAGAATCCATATTCATTTTTCCTTTAATTTTCCATATTTTGGTATTTAGCTACACAATTTCATGGTAGTCTTAGTACATTGTTCTCTTTTCCTACCCTCCAGGGCAAAAAGGATAAGTAAAAATTATATTTCCTCTGAAGATGAGTCAGACTACCTGTCTTTATAGTTTTTTATGATCTAGTTATTTCTTTTTCTATCTGTCAGTTCAAAAAATCAGTAGAAGCTACAATCTCAACACCAAACTGTTCCTTACCCTTCAAAAGAGAAAGACAGCTAATGTTCTATTAAAAAGTCTTGTTAAGCCAGACACTGGTGGCTCACACCTGTAATCCCAGCTACTTGAGGCTGAGATCTGAGGATTGTGGTTAAAAGTCAGCATGGGTAAGAAAGTCTCTGGGAGTCATCTCTTCAATTAACTACCATAAAGCCAAAAATGGAGCTGTGGTTCCTTGAGCACAAAGCTCAGGGACATTGCTTAGACACTGAGTTCATGTCCAGAAATGGACACACACACACACACACACACACACACACACACACACACACATGCACAATGGTCTTGTTAAAAGTCTGTTAAAATTCTTTTACTCAACTGCTTTCAAAATAAGCATATAAAGAAACAAAGGTAAGGAAGAGTAGCCTCAACCCAGTGCTTTGATGGCATTTAGCAGTAACAATTCCTGCCTGGAAATAAGAGATCTCTGTAGCACAGGTAATGACCCTCCTGTGGGGGTATGCAACCCATAAAACTTGAAGACTTTGTAAAGGTCAGCAAGCTCTGCAGCTTCTGTCCTGGGGATACATTTCTAAGTAGCCCTGAGGAGAAAGGGAGGGAAGAAGAGAGGGAAAGAAAAAAAAGTTCAACTTGATGAAAGTAAAATGTGCAAACTTAACAGTTTCTGGATTATCATTTAATTATAGCCATCAATCACCTCACATCTGCTTTCTCCCAGTTCTCAAGAAATTCCATCTAAAGCCATCTGATCCAGCTAACAGAGTGTGGAGCCCATTAAGAAACCAGAGAATAGGGAGTAATATTTAAGATACCCTGAAGAAGATTTTAGAAAATTACTTTTAAAACAGGAGGGTAGAATCTATCATCTAATCCATCCATTTTATTATAAAACCCAAGAATAAAAGTATCTTTTTAATTATGCCTTTGAAGCACTACTTTTTTTCCCCTTCTGGGTCAGATATGAACTGATGATCATTTTCAAAAGGCTTTGCTTTCCAGATTATTTTATTTCAATCCATTTTTATTAATACATGAAATTGACCTGTACTTAGTCATTTTATGAACATGATTTTATATTTCTCTTTAAACGAGGACCATTTAACTTTGAACTTTTAGAAATACATTTGCTCTGTTAATTGATGCTAAGGGATGGCCAACAAATGTCTTTAAGGGTGACTGTTATTTTCAAGGTTTAAGATGTTTTCATTTATTTTTCATTTAAGGTGTTTAGATTGCCGTCCCTACATTTGGTAGCTTTTGAAGGAATTAAAAGCTGTTTGTCTTTTTAAGCTCTGATGTGTTCAGAAGTGTTTCAACTATGGTAATCCCCTGGTTGTGCTGTGTTTATCTCCCTCTAGAGTCCTAAATGCTCTCCTCTCCTTAGGCAGATAATTGCAATGGAGTTGGAACCAGAGGAAAGTGTTAAGCTGGTGCTGAGCAGTAGAAAATAAAAGAAGTGTTACCGTGGTGGAAGTCAATAGACTCTGATACTGTAATCTCTGTTCTCGTTTATTTTTGAAGCCATAAGTACTCAGGAGGAAAGCTAGTCATTTATTTGTCGGTAAAAATATTTGTCTGTAGTCATATATGACTTTTAACTTTTTATTTTCATGCCTTTGATTACAGCCATCTTCTATCTAGTACAATATGGGTTCTCTCTCTCCCTGTGGCTTTCATGGCAATGGTGTTTTGGGCTGTAACATTTGAGATTGTGCATTTTTTAGTAAATAATGGTGATTCCTTACCTGTTTCCCCCCCCACAGAGTTCATCGGGTGATTTAATGATCAGAAATATCCAGTTGAAGCATAGTGGGAAATATGTCTGTATGGTGCAAAGTGGGGTGGACAGTGTTTCTTCTGCTGCTCAGCTCATAGTAAGAGGTAAGCATTCATGTTTCCTGAAGTTGTTTAACTTCCCAACTTAGTTGAGCCTTCCCCACTGCAGGAGAAACTACATGAGATACTGTGTAAGCTTCCAAGCTATACCCCATAGCTTGTCCTTGCCTCCCCACCATGTTCCAGAAATTGAGATAGTAGTTAATTCAAAGAAATACAGATCTCAGCTCTGCCCTCCAAAGAACTCTCATTATAACTGGATGTTCTACCACTTCTGCCAAGATGGTAGGTCATTAATTTAGCACATGCATTTAATATGAGGGGTAATATAATTTAAGTGTGTGTACATGTCAAAAAACACATTAGAATCATTCAGAATGTTCAGAAAATGGTAGATCTATTCAGCATTTGGAAGACACCATCTGAAGGCCTAATCTGAGGATATTGGGTGTAGAGGAGCACCTAGAGACAAGTTAATGGTCCAGGAAATTTATTTAACAGTATCCTAGCAGAGAACTTCCCAAACACGCAAAAAGATAGGCCTATTGAGATACAAGAAGCTTTTAGAACCCCAAATAGACCAGACCAGAACAGGACATCCCATCACATTATAATCTGCACAGGATCAATTCAGACCAAGGAAAGGATCCTTAAAGCTGTCAAGAAGAAAAGATCAGTCACCTATAAAAGGAAACCAATTAGAATCACCTCAGATTTCTCAGCAGACACAATTAAAGCAAGAAGAGCCTGGAATGATATATGCTACAGCCTAAAGACAAACAACTGTCAACCAAGAATACTGTACCCAGCTAAACTCTCTTTCATAACAGAAGGTCAAATAAAAACCTTCCATAGCAAAGAAAAACTGAAATAATATATCTCTACCAAATCAGCCCTACAAAAGATACTTATAGATGTCCTACACATAGAAAACCAACAAGACCATAATAAAGGCCAAGAAACCAAACCCAAACTGAGACTCTAAGAACTATAGGAAGAACCCAGTTGTTGCAGTCCCCAAGAAGGTGGATCACATGGGCAGGAACTCCCAAACACCTCTCAGTCCTAACTCTCAACATTAATGGACTTAACTCTCCAATTATGCGACATAGACTGTCTAGTTGGATTAAAAAGCAAGATCCTTCTATCTGCTGCCTTCAAGAGTCACACCTTGCCCACAAAAACAAACATATTTTGAAAGTGAAAGGCTGGAATAAAATCTACCAAACAAACAGCCCCCCAAAACAGGCAGGAGTTGTAATCCTAATATCAGATAAAATAGACTTCAAATTAAAATTAATGAGGAGATAAAGAAGGTTGCTACATACTAATTAAGAGATCTCTCCTTCAGGAGGATATTACAATTCTGAATATCTATTCACCAAACAATGTCCTAAGACATTAATTGTTGGGCACTTTAACACACCACTATCCCACTAGATAGATCAACTCAGCAAAAACTTAACAGAGAAACCAAGCTGAGGTACTGGCCAGGGTATTGATTTGCTATTAAGCTAGAGAGGAAAAATGACTAAAGTACATCATAGAATAAAACACTTCAGGATGTATCAAGAGGTTTAAGGCGAGGGCATCCCACCCAAAGTGACAAACTTCAGAAAAGTACAGGAACCCTGCTGAGCAGTCACCTAAGATGTGAGATGTTATATGCAAACATTTAGCCTTATGATTTTGGAATTACTGGATTGTATTTCCACATTTAAGATCTAGTGAGGGGAGTATAAAATAAATGGTAGTTTTTATGGCCAGAAAAGCAACCTTTCCCTCCTCAGTGCTTTTGAACCAGGGATTCATTGGATATAGTGAAGGGATCATGTGACACGGGTCTTCGGTGGAAGAAGATGACATAAATGATGTATAGGAATTACCCACCATTGGCATTCTTGTCTTCCCTAGGTTCACCTGGACCCCCAGAAAATGTGAAGGTAGATGAAATCACAGACACAACAGCCCAGCTCTCTTGGGAAGAAGGTACAGATAACCACAGCCCCGTTATGTCCTATTCAGTTCAGGCAAGGACACCCTTCTCCGTGGGCTGGCAGACTGTCACAACAGGTAAAGGGGCAGAAGGCAGTGCCGCAGGCACATGTGCATGGATTTCAATTCAGTACCAGGCCACGTTCATGTAGTCTTATCTTCTCCACTGTTCCCTTGCAGTACCTGAGGTCATTGATGGCAGCACACGCACAGCTACAGTAGTGGAGTTAAACCCCTGGGTGGAATATGAATTCCGTGTTGTAGCCAGTAATAAAATTGGAGGTGGAGAACCCAGTTTACCCTCAGAAAAAGTAAGAACTGAAGAGGCAGGTTAGTGTTTTTGTTTTCTGAGTAATGGGTTAATAGATCTGATCTCCCTGAGTGTGCTTTTCCATTTCCCTGGGCCCTGGTCTCTAGACCTGTAAGGCATTTATCTGCATAATCCATTGTCACAATTATCTGACCTTTCTAGGAGCAGAATTTACCATATGGCATTTGTCACAGAAAATATATGTAACTGATTCTGAAGTAGTTTAACATTTCCAAGAGTTCAGTTTATCATAAATGATCATTAGTGCATGTTGAGTGAATATGTTTTTGTCACTTAAGGTTATAATTACTATCTGACATAGTTACCCAGTTAGCAGGAGATGCACTATTTTCATTTATAACAAGCATTGACAAATTGGTAAGATAATGACATTCGGGAGTTCTGCCAGGAGATCTCATCCTGCCACCCAGCTTCCCAAATGAGCAGAAGCAATTGATGAATAGTGTATTTCGACCCCTTAAGAAAGAATTATTGTTAAGAATTTTCAGATGTCACAACTAGTAATAGGAACCATCAAACTATCTTCCACAATTCTAAGACTATCCTAACATTAAAATTCAAAATTTGCGGGTAGACGTAGCATCACATTATAGAGGAGAATGAAAGGATATAAGGACTCCTTTTTCAAATCTATAAAATTAATATTAACAGAACTGTTTGAGGTAGAGCTAGCACAGGACTTCAGGAACTAGACCACATTAGTCCACATGAATGGAATGTGTACCCATAATTTCCATGATGCTGGTTTACTGAGGCAGTGCATATAAATGTTTAAGCTGGGTGCTGTCAGAGCGTGTGCCTGCCTTGATATCCTCTCATTTGTTAATGCAACCTGTATTTAGGGAGCATCTACTCTATGCCCAGCTGATGCAGCTGTGAATATGAGAGACCTTCCCACAACTTACAGTGTAGGGCCATAGGATTCGCTAAACCTAAAGCACGAAGGTGAGAAATTGATGGCTTTGTGAGGTTTATGAAAAGCAAGATTGGCAAGCTCCATTCTGCAGCATTGTTGCCTAGAGCCAATGGCATTCTGAGACACGGATCTTTCTGTGGGAAAGTCTCCAGTTACATGTTTATGCTGGACTGCCCTCCTCCATCCCTACTGAATCATTTTCCCTTGTTTTATTAACCTTCACTCTGGTTGCAAAGTAACTGTCATCATTACTGTGTGAGAGGCTCTGTGTATGACTTCATCTTAAGAAAATTGTGTAATGACGGGCTGGGAAGGTGGCTCAGTGGTAGAGCGCTTGCCTTGCATGTCTGAGGCCCTGGGTTCGATTCCTCAGCACCACATAAGCAAAAAGAAAAAAGCCAGAAGTGGTGCTGTGGCTCAAGTGGTAGAGCGCTAGCCTTGAGCTGA